CTGACTGCTGTCCCTTTCTTCTTGCCTCTAACTCACTGCATTCCTGCCTATGCCCCAACTCCCTGTCTCCACCATGAGGGCACCATTCCTGGCCCTAACCCAGGCCCAGCTGCCTGGGCCTGGACTGCTATGCAGCAGAGCCCCTGCTTCCCACTCTGGCCTTACCACTCAGTCCTTGAGATGCCCTTTTAAAACACCAGGGCACTGAGGGTAAGTGTAAGGCCACCTCTGCCTCTGCCCACAGACCTCCGGTGAGGTAGTATCTGGCCTCACAGTTTGACTAGTGGATGCCCCAGGTGCTCCCTAGTAGCAGGCCAGCTTTACCTAGCTCTAAGGTCCCAAGGCACAGCATACTACTCACCCCTGCCTAGGGAGGACATGAAGAGGGTGCGGGGAGCTCTTAGGGCCAAGTAGCTTCTAGATGCCAAAGGAAGAGGGCCTGAGTTTCCAAAGAGTGAAGCATAAAGGAATGCGTGGGCCTTGGGGCAAGGAGTGAGGGTTGCTCTGGAGCAGAACTAGTGCTCAGATGAAGGAGTAGGGCTCTGTGGGTTCAGGCATTTTAGAACTTCCCTTTTTAAAACCTAGATGGCTTTGTCATCACCTCAGGTCCTCAGAATTTCTGAGTGATGTCACTGGTGCCTCTTAGCGCTGTATTCATTTCAGCAGCTGCCCTAGAGGAAATCGGATCTGGTCTGGGAAGGGTCATGTGCGTATTTGAGGAACCCAGGGAAGCCATCCTGAGCAGGCCCTGCCCTGCCTTGTGACCCTGGGACTGACCTGCCTGTGCTTTAAAAGGCAGGCAAGCTGTCCGGTGAACCTGGCTCTCCCCACGTGGATGCCTCCCTCAGTCTTCTCCTGCTCTCCTTTTCATGCCTCACTGGTCCCCCAAGGAAGGCTGGGCAGGTCTTGGTGTTTGTGGATTTGAGGACTGTGAAAGGAACCTTGACCATTTCAAGTAATGGGCTGGGTATGGTGGTGCATGCCTTTCATCCCAGTGCTCAGAAAGGCAGAGGCAGGTGGATCTCTTTGAGTTCCAGCCCAGAGACCTGTTTTTCAAATAATGCGCTCCAACAGGGGCCAGTCTGCAAGCCAGTGTGTAGAGCCACAGCCCGCATTTCCAGCTTTGCCACCACACAGTTCTGTAGTATTGTTCTTTCTTTCTTATTTAATGATTCTTTATGTCTAAAAACCATTTTTCTTCCTATACAGCCAGGCCCATATTTTCTACCCCAGTATATGCAGTCCCCTCTTCCCCTTCCAGACTCTGTAGAGAGGAGCCATCACCCTTTGCCATTTGGATGGTGGACTCTTCAGAATCCGAGCCAAGGATAGTGCCTAGAGAGGTGTCTATGGGCCAGTCACTGCCTCAGCCCAAGGACCTGACCCATGAGCTGCCAGGCACCAAGGGGCAACAGGAAACCAGTGTAAAACCTGTCAGTACCAAGTTGGTCTTGGGGAACCTGGTTGACTGGAGGCATCAGAGACTGGCAGGCTGTTTCAGCCCTTGTCCCTGAGGAGTGTGCTCCCTCATGGGAGGCTACCTGGCATGCTGGCTCCAAAGGCACCTACCCTCAAGCCAAGCCAGACACAGGGTCCAGCAGCACCCAACTCTTGATGCTGTGTCTCCAGAGGGAGGGGCTCCTGGAGGAGGCATCTAGGCCTAGACTGAGTACTGGGAGCCCAATGGGGCCTTGCCAAGATGGGTTGGTGAGAAAAGAATATAAGGCCAGATGGGTACAGGGAAGGGTGGGTGAGGGTTCCAGCTGGGCTGTGGCCTCATGTAAGCATCCTTTTCTCTGCAGGGCGACTGGACCCTGCCACCAGCTGCAGTCGTTCCCTGGCCAGGTATGTTCCCTGGGGCTGGGAAGGGAGGTGCTCCCTGTTCACTCATGGGCTCACAGACCTCTCCCTTCGTGCAGCCGGGCCATCCAGCGTAGCCTGGCCATCATCCGGCAGGCAAAGCAGAAGAAAGAGAAGAAGAGAGAGTACTGCATGTATTATAACCGCTTTGGCAGATGTAACCGTGGTGAACGCTGCCCCTACATCCATGACCCTGAGAAGGTGGCCGTGTGTACCAGGTGCCCTGCCCAGCCTTACTAACAACTTGGAGGGGGTTGTGGCAGACCTTGGCACCAGCCTTCCCCAAACCTTCCTGTCCCCTGTTGCAGATTTGTCCGGGGCACGTGCAAGAAGACAGATGGAACCTGTCCTTTCTCCCACCATGTGTCCAAGGAGAAAGTAAGTGTTGTATGGCCAGCAGTCCCATTCTTCCAAATGTCCCTCAGGACCACACAGGTCCAGGCAGATGGTGCATCGTGGTTTTCCTTGGTCTTGAGACGGCGGCCTCTGCCTCTAATGTCCAGGAGTCCATGTGCTCCTGCATTTGGCCCCTCTACTCTCATGTCCTGACTGTGCTGTGCTGCCTTTCACCTCAGCTAGAAGCAGCACCAAGCTGGGGTCCCCACATACACACAGGGGTCTCCCTTTACCATCCCCCCAGGTTCTATAGTGAAGCCAGGCTCTTTCCCATCTCTACCCCCAGCACAAAAGAGGGCAGCCCCACAGTTGCTCCTGGGGTACAGGGCCAAGTTCTCATCTGCCTCCAGTCTGGATGAAGTGGTGGTCAGGAGAGCCATCACAGAGCAGCCAGATTGCAGTAGCCAGGTGCACCCCTGCCTAGAAGGACTGAGAGAGCACTGTGGCCAGGGATGGCCACAGACTAGTCACCAGCCCCACACTCACCCACTGGACTCTGAGAAGATAGCCTGACCATGGGTGTGGGAAAGGGCCTGGGGGCCAGGGCTGCAGTGTGAGGGAGGCCGCTGGGTGAGGCCTGCTGCTGCTCCGACAGCTTTTCCCCTTGAGGAGCTCAGAGAGAATCAGCATTTTTCTCCCTAATCGAGCTTCGAAACTCTGTCGTGAGCAATTTGGAAATTCACGTCGAGTTTCGGGTTCATTAAGCGCCAGCTCCAAAGCCAGCGCACACTCCAAGCTGTCTAATGTGTGGGCCGCACCAGCGCCCTGAATTAATGTTATTGTTATTTGTGTGGACGTGGTGGGGTGCAAACAAGGTTAATTGAAATGAGAACGCAGTTTCCTCTTGGTAACGGCCCCGCTCTGACAGCCAGGAGGGGCTCTGTTTGGTGCAAGAGTTGGCTTTATTATCCCTTTTTATTAGAGCTAATTTGGGCTCTATATCAAAAACCACATTAAGGGAATTGTCTACAGCCTCACCACCGCCAACCCAAACGGGGGCCCCCAGCCCCTCTCCCCTCTGCGGCTGCAGTTAAAAGACAATTAAAAATAAACTCTTGCTCGGTAAATCTCCCTTTGTTTCTTTGATCTCCCCCTCCTCTCTCAGCTCTAGGGCTGCTGCCCCAGCCCCTTTCTCCTTGGCCTCAGATAGGGTTACTACCTTTCCCTCTCCCACTTTGCCTGGGAAAAGTGTCTTTTTAAATCCCCTGGGTTCCTTTGGACCGGAAGGAAGTCCTCAGCCCCACTTCTGGTCCAGGTGCTAATAAACAACTCTGTGTGAGATGAATGACTACCTGGGGCCACGGAGGGCATGCTGGGCCTGGACTGTGACAATGGTGGCTGGCCCACAGTAGGGGAAGAAGTAAAGTTTCTTGGAAAACTCAGAGGTACCGCCTTCCCTGAGTGGCCTCCAACCAGGTCTTACCCTTAGGTTTTGTCTGTCTGGTGGGCTGAGTTGCCTTTCTTCCCCCTCCCAGCCCAGATAGTGGTACCAAGTAGCAGCTGCAGTCAGCAGGCGTTAGGGTTACAGTTCTGTGCTGGGGAAGGAGCAGGGCATATCCAGCTCCTGGGCTGAGGAGCCTGCCTGGGCCTGTCTGCCCACAGCTGCCAGGGAAAGGCCAGACTGCCTGCTCCAGGGCCCCTCCTACTGACAGGCCAGCCCTTAGTGCTGTCATGTGGTCAGTACTAAACCTATCCTGCTAGAAGTCCAGCCTGCAAGCCTGCCTCACCTAGATAGTGGGCCCATGGCCCAGGGCACCTCAAGTCTTGGGTTGGTAGCCAGGAGCCCTGGCTATTGTCCATACTCTTAGGGATTGCACACCTGGGGCCAAGCCACTGCTAAAGGCTGCTTAGCTCCATGCCCTCCTCTGGGCAGAGTTAGACCAGATATGCTGGGTCACCTAGGCAAGCAGGGGTCCAGTATAAGCAGGTAACCCCTGGACCTCAGCTGCTGCTGGCTGGTACTCTATGTCCATTTTTCCTTCAGGAAGGCCATGATACAGTTCCCCAGGCAGAGTCTGGGTGACCGATGCCTAGCTGTGGGACCCTGTCAGGGGCCTTCAAAGCCCTAGTGTTCTTGCTTGTCAAGTGGTTGTAGTGCAGAGGGGTAGACCCTCAGGCCCTCATCACCTTCCTCTCTTCACAGATGCCCGTGTGCTCCTACTTCCTGAAGGGGATCTGCAGCAACAGCAATTGCCCCTACAGCCACGTGTATGTGTCCCGCAAGGCCGAAGTCTGCAGTGACTTTCTCAAAGGCTACTGCCCGCTGGGTGCGAAGGTGAGGGGGCTGCAGGTGGGCACAGGACGTCCTCTTCAATATCCCTCAACACTTGCTGTGTTGTCCACAGGCACCATCATTCCATCCACCTCACAAGTGACTCGCAACCCACCCAGGGTTACATAGGGCCAGGGAGAACAAGGGGTTTGCAGTGCATTTCACCTGAAGCACAGGGAAAGGGATACAGTGACTAGGACAGCAGAGCCTAGGGAGAGGGCTCTCCTGTGAGCCGAGGGTGGTAGTGGTGAGAGGAGTGTCAGAGGCTGGGGCTCTGCAGAACTAAGCTAGCTAGGGCTTACTGCTTCTCTGGGATGTTGGGTAGTAGACACCTGGCCCACTCCCATCTCACCTGGCAAGGATGAGCCAGCACTGGAATCCGTTGCCCACTGGAGGCATCAGTGCCAGGTTAGGGTTAGGAAGCAGGCAGGAGGGCTGTCACCATATCCCTGGGTAACTGACATGCTTCCTGTTCCTCCTCCTAGGTGCCTAAGACTACTTGTCTGGCCACCCAGACAGCTCAGTCTCACCTGTTAGCTCTTATGGGAAACCAAATAGCTGAGCCAGTGTGGCCTTACAAGCTGCACAAGCTCAAGTAGCTCTGGGGCCCTAGCCCAGTGGGACAGTCTTTTCCTAGCCTCCTATACCTGAGCTCCTTATCCTGGGGCTCCATGTCTGGGGTGGGGCTGAGAATGGCTAGGGACCCTTGGAGTGGACTCTTTAGTTCCCAACACCCTAAAATGGAGCCATAATACACAACCAGGGCCTTCAATAAGCTGCCTTTAGTCCTTTATGTCTGAAGCCCTTGGGGCCCACGGACAGGAAGGTGAATACCTTCCCCAAGAGAAGCCAAGGCAAATAGGCAGTATGGGCTATGTCTGCAAAGCAGCTCCTGTCCAAGCACTCTTAAGGCTCAGGTGGCAGGCCAGCCCTCCCTCTCTGGCTTCAATACTATAGGGGCCACCAGAAACACTGGGTGTGCACCCGACCCTCCCCAAGCATAGCCTTCAAGTTGACTGAGCTCCTCCATCCTTCCTGACTCTCACCCATCCACCCACCAAAGTAGCCCCAGAGCAGTGACTCCTCGAGCCAGCCGCTGCCTCTGTATTACTACTGACAGGCCTGGCTACATGGGCCTGACAGGAGCTGGCGGGTCACCTTGAAGGGCACGGATCCCTGGCAGGGAAGCCCTTCCGGGAAGGTGGAGCCTGGTAGGGCCTGATGGGCAGATCTAAGCCCTGGCCCAGGTGAGGGGCAGGACCCCACAGAGGCCACAGATGATTATTGTAAAATATTCCAATTTAAATGAAAATATCAGAGCGGTATTTAAGTCCTGCTTCTATTAGTGGAAGTGCTTACTGCGTCCCTTTCCGCGTGTCAGCGCTGCGTCCCTGCCGCATGATGGATAGCAGCTTGTAATTATATATGGGGAAAGCGCTGAGCAGGCCAGATCCAGCAGGAGGGGAGGCAGCAGCTTGGGCCTGTGAGGGTTAATTTTATTCTCTAAATAATATAAAAAGTGCTGAGTCGTCACCTTGCGCCTGAAGTAGAAGTCCTCAAATGGGCCCCAGAGAGTTTATAATATTCCACTGAATCAAGTGAAATTGTTAACCTTGCTTCATAAAGCCATGGCTTGTTAAAGAGGCGCATTCCCTTTTCTTTTGAATAATTTAGGCTGGGAGTAAATCTCTGTTCCTTCCCTTTCTGGGGGCCATGGGGCTGTTCCAGGCCTTTTGGCTCTGAGGGTAGCCTCTGCCAGATGACAGGCCCAGCTCTCCTGTTGGAGGATAGATTGGTGACTGCAGGCTGGTGACAGTTGTGGGATGCCCTCATGTCTGGGGGGGTCCTTGCACTAGAGCAGGAAGTGGCCAGTGTGGCCCTGTGTCACTTCCACTCTTGCCTCTAGCCCAGAGCACACTTGGATCACTTTGATGCCAGCTTCATCATCTCCCTGGATCCTGTGTGTTCTCTCTGCAGATGCCCCGGGGCACAAAGCTGGGGCATCTGCTCTTGGTGTACCTGTCCATTAGGGTATGTGTGTGCCCTGTGTGCACGTTTGCATGCCAGTGTGCACAGTCCATTCATGTGTGTGGAGTGTGTGTGTATGTGTGTGTGGAGGGTACGTGTGTGTATGTACGTGTGTATGTGTGTATACGTGTGTGTGCGTGTGTGTACATGTGTGTGCGTGCGTGTGTGTATGCGTGCTGTCAGCTGCTACCACTTCCTGTTAACCCTGCCATGCAGCCCCCACTCTTCTGTTGGTGCCTCCTGCTCTGCTGTCCCCTCATGGCTCAGGCCCAGTCTGGACCCCTGTCTGAATATCAGGTTTTGTCCCCTGCATTGTCAGGCCTCTGCCCCAACCCTCTTGGCTGTGGATGCGCCCTGAGCCCTCCCTGCAGCATCTTTGGTTTTCCTGCCTGTCACTCACATTTCCTCTGTCAGTGGGGATCCTTCCGTCAACTCAAAACCATATTTTTGTGGTACAGCCTTCCCTTTCCCTCTAGTTTGTGTGCTGAGTCTGTTGAAGGGCCTGGCCCCACGCATGATCACAGGGAGCCCCAGCACCTACTGCTGACTGCATTAGCCGTGGTGAGGCAACTGTGGGTGAGGGTTAGTCCCCAGTCCAGCCTGCCCTGCCACCTGAAACCATGACAGGTCATCCTCCTGGGGATGAGGGCTCTGCCTCCCTCCTGGGGCCGTGGTGGAGAAGAGAGCCAGGTTTAACCTGCAGCTTCTTGCACAGGCTACCATGCCCCTGCTGGACTTGCTGTTGTATATTGGCTTGTCATATGAGGATGGTGCTCTCTGTGTCTTCATGTAGTGATGATCTAAATTTGTCTTCCTTTCCCTCTGGATGTGGGGGCCTTGGAGGCATTGCAGTTCACCCATTTCAGTGCTTCATGGTGTCTGGTATATTACTTTGTGCTTACTTTAATGCTGGGGATTGGACTCAGGGCTTCATACATGCTGGATGAGTGCTCTGCCCCTACACCTAGAGAATTATTTTTTAAAATTATGGCATGAAATGAAAAAATACTGTGGTGCGGGCTGAGGTACAAGACATTGGTAGGATACCACCTAGCACAAGCAAGGCCCTGAGTTTGAATCCCTGGCCTCCAGAAACACCTCTGGTTTGATACAGAACAGACTCATTTTCACTTTTTTTTTTTGAGACAGGGTCTCCCTGTAGCCCCAGCTGTCCTGGAACTCTCTGTGTAGACCAGGCTGGCCTTGAACTCACAGAGAACCATCTGCATCTACCTCCCGAGTGCTGGGATTAAAGGCGTGCACCACCACACCCGGCCCCATTTTCACCATTTTAAAGGTAAGAACTCTGTTGTTAATTAAATTCATAATATTAAGCCAGGGGTGGTGGCACACACTTGTAATCCTAGCACCCAAGAGGCAGTGACAGGAAGATCAATACGAGTTTTTGACCAGCTTGCTCTACATACTGAGTTCTAGGCCAGCCAGGGCTACATACATAACAGGACCCCGTTGCAAGAGTAAGTAAATAAATAAATAAATAAATAAATAAATAAATATTAAAAGTAATATGCACTCATCACCACAATGAAATATTTCCAAGACTTTTTCAGCACCCCAAACAGAAATACTGTAAGTACCTTAAGCAGTAACTGTCCTTTCCTCCCTCTCTCCTGGTAGCCTACCCAGGTAATGGAGCTAGTTGGTGTTTGTCCTGTTGTATCTGGCATCTAGCTTCTTTTTCTCAGGATGGTATTGCAGGGTTCATGTTGTAATGTGTATAAGAATGTTATTACTTTTTATGGCTGACTAATACTCCATTGCATGCATGCAGACATTGTGTTCATCCATGTATGTCTGTTCACAGACATGGCTTACTGCCGCTTTTGGCCACTGTGAATGACACTGCAGTGAAGCAAGTATCTGCTCTCGGCCTCTCTGGGTGTACATCCCAAGTGGAAGTGCTGGGTCATGGTGTCAGTCTTATATTTATCTTTTTGTAGAACTTCCAAGCTGTGTTCCGTAGCGGCTAGACCACGTCACACTCCCATAAGCAGTGTGCCCTTCTAACCCTCCCCACCACGTATGAACTCATTCATTAGTGCTAGTAGTTTTTTATGGCCTGAGAGTTTTTGAAACCATACAAGATCATGTCATTTGAAAATGGAAAATTTTATTGCTTCCATTTCAATGTGAATGCCTTTAATTTCTTTTTCTTGCCTCGTTCTGGTTGGGCCATCAGTGCTAGCTGAATAGAGAGGCACAAGTGGGTGCTCCTGTCCTCTCCCTTCCATCACTGAGCACAATGCGAGCTGGCCTTGGGCTTCTTGTTTGTGGTGTGCATGTGTGGCTCATAGGATGAGCACACACACACCCATCTCCAGTTACTGAGTGTTTATACCTCAGAAGTGCTGAGTTCTGTTAAACCTTTTCTACCTCGGTTGTGGGCTTTGCCTTTCATTCTATTAAGTGGTCAGTTAATGACAGTGACCAGACTGACACAGTCACTTTGTAATTTGTGTATTAAATCAGTCTTGCATTCTAGGAATAAACCCCACTAGGTCATGCTGTATAATCCTTTTAATATACTGTAGACTTTAGTTTGCAAGTATTTTGCTGAGATTTTTTTCATTAATATTCGTAAAGGATACGGGCCTCTAGTCTCCTTTTCTTACACTCTCCAGTTTGGCTTCAAGGAAATAGTGGCCTCATGGAGAAGTTGGGAAGTGCGCCCTTGTTTCTTTGCAGTTATTGTAGTTTGAGAATTGGTGCTAATTCTTTAAATGATTTAAAAGAATTTACTAGTGAAGCCTAAAGTCCTGAGCTTTTTTTCCGGGGCAGTTATGGCTGGTGGTTTATCTCTTCACTTCCTGCTGTAGTGAGAGTCTGGAGGTTGAGCGTCTAGGGTCAGTTCATTTCATCTAAGGTGTCAAATGTGTGTGATTGTGGTCTTTCCTAATTTTTCTTTAGACTTCTGCAGAATCTGGTGATCCCACTTCATCCCTGATACCGGAAATGTGTGTTTGCTTTTT